CCCGGGCAGTCTCGTAGATACCACCTGAAGTATATTAGAGCCTGGCTGATTGTGGGTCTGCTCCAAAGCCCTCTGAAGTCAGTGGGAGTCTTTCCCCTGACTTCACTGCGTTTGGGGCAGGCCCTGGATGAACATCCCTCAGGTTAGACAGTTTAATCATCCATTCAGCAGTACACAAAGCAGATCACATACACTTTTAGCCTGCATTGTATGCTGTTATGAAACGAGAAGATTATTTGATATGATTCAGAGATAGCTCAGGTATAAGGTAAAAAAAAAAAAAAAACACCTTTGATGTTTTACATTACATTTCAGTTGTTCCTTGAGGGGCAAATTCTCGTCACCTTACCCAGGTGAATATTGCGCTCAGTAATTTGGTCAAAAACATTCCATCAGCCTTCTTTTTGATAGAAATTGTTGGGGAGGGGGGAGCCTTCAGCTTGATGGAGCTTTCTGCCAAAAAGAAGGAAAAGAAAAGGTAAATCCATTTCTTCTTTCAACAATCAGAGAAAAAATATAATTTGGAATAAAAATCTGTTTTGGAGGGATTTTCTAACAGGGCAATAAAACTCAACTTTTTATATTGCCAAAGCCTAAGGAGAAACAACAATTTCCCAATGGTTGCAGTCTCCATCTGGCACAGCTATTTCTAGCTGAGGCATCAGCCATCCACGTACCATCGTACCATGGGCCAGGCCTGATTCTTATCTTGCCTCTCTTGGGTCAAGCTACAAAAGGAGGCTTTGCCCCTCTTATTCTGTGTGCTATCAGAACGAGACTGACAGGACCACCCCCCACGACTGAGCAGGACAGAATTTAGGTACATCACATTCAAAGGCAGGTGAGATCTGCAGGGCTGGTGGGGCCTTATCTCAAGAAGTTTGATGAAGAATTTTCCATTGCTAGAAATACAGAAAGGGCATAGGCAGAAGAGCTGTAGTTTCCTTGAACACTACTACATCTTTTGAACTAATCCTAAAGATTTCAGAGGAAAATCACCCTCCCAAAAAAGGCAACAAAACCTTCTGTACAGGCACGATGTACAATGGCCAACTTTCATGAACTTTGGGAGCGACAGGGCAAATGAAAAGCCTCCTCCTGCAGAGATGCAAACCGCAGTCCATGGCCAGTGGCAGTAATTGAAGCCCTATTTCCAAAAGAGTTGGCGGGTGATGAAACCCAGCGCGGATGGCTGTGTTCTGCCTCTTGAATCCCCTCCCACCACCCCGCAATATTCTCGGTGTAGCTGGGGGTGGGGGGTTTAACTTTACTGGCACGAGAGTTTCCTTTGTTGATGGGAACTGGGTCTCCTTTAGGGGACTGGGCTGATCCAGCTGTACAGGTAAAGCCTTTGTACTGTGGAGTAGCTCAAGTGCAGACCTGCAGTGGGTGCCTGCCTGAACCTTTGCTGGCATGTCGATAAGGCCAGTGCTGAGCAAAGTTAAACGACCCCGTGCTGGAGAAGTGCCACACGTAGGAGCCAGCAAGCATCTGTGTTACTGATCCAACGCATCTCTTGAAATGCCTTTGGACTGTACTTCTCTTCAAGCAGGGACTGCCTTCTTTAGTAGTTGTGTGTGCTGGAAGAGCCACAGTCCCTGGCTGGGAGTGTTGGAGGGTAGAGGCAGTGCAGGACAGAGGTACCAGGTGGTTGTACTTGCAGTCATCGGCACGACAATGGTTTCATATTGCGTACCGCTGCGCTGCATTGGTCTTGCCCAGTTGAGGTGGCATCTTTCTAGACACCCAGAAAGAGCGGAGAAACCAAGCAAAGATGAGACTTCCTGTGACACTTAGGTTTAGTGTTCAGCAGCTGGGATCTGTGGGCTCCCAAATGCCTCCCATGAGATCACTGCTCCCTCAAACTCAGAAGGAGTCACAGAATCATAGAATGGTTTGAGTTGGAAGGGACCTTAAAGATCATCTAGTTCCAATCCCCCTGCCATGGGCAGGGACA